AGGCCAGGCAACAGAGGCCATGAGCACGAGGGACCCCCTTCCTGGCACCCACCTTACAGGGTCTCCCGTCCACAGTCTGGTCCTCAAACTCTTCTGCGATCTTGAAGTTGATCTCCGTGGTGCGCACGGTGGTGGAGGTTTTGATGTAGAAATTGTCTCCGTCCTGTTTGATCTCCACTGTTGGCTTGGACGCTGCGGCCACGGCGATCTTCCTCAGCATCATGTTCACCCCTGCGGGGACAGGGGATGGCTCCAGGCAGCAGTCTCACCTCTTCCTGCCCCTGACACAGTCGGAGCAGACTGATCTGTGGCTTGGTGGCGGGGGAGGCGGCTGCCTGGGCTGTCCTGGAGGGTACCTTGGAGGGGGGACAGGGCTCTACAGTCCCGAAACATGATAGGGTTTAGGCAGGAGGGGCAGAGAGGCAGTGCCCAGCCCCCAGGGGCCCTGCTCGAGCGGCAGCCCCAGCCTGGACTGGGTTCCCCAAAACTCAATTCTGCACTCCCAGAATTCTCAAGGGTGGCTTCTCCCCATCCTCCCACCTGCTTCCTGCCATGGGCTGGGCTCACCTCGGCTCTGTTCACCTTACTCTTGGCCTTTTATCCTCCTGCCTGGAGTTCTGCTGGGAGGGGCTCACCACTGAGGTCCCACTTCCCTGTCCCTTATCTGCCCACGCCATGGGGGTGCTAGGTAGGTCTTTGCTTGCCCAATCTCTCCCCCTCCCACAGATGGGGACCAGGGGTCCTCAGCGGGGAAGAGATGAGGCCATGCTTCCCCTCCACGGAGTGGCCCACAGCCTGCGGAAGCCAGAGGCTCTGCAGTGAGGGCCATTAGGCTGTGGCCCCCTCCTGGCTCTGCCCCCTTTCAGGCTGGGCAACTGGGCAAATGGCCGGAGCTCTCTGCCCCTTAGATTCCTCAATTGTCAAATGGAAGCGACAGCTTCTTCCTTAGCATCAAGGGGCTGCTGTCTGGTGCCAGGCCTCCCATTAGGGCTTCAGGAAGCAGTAGCTGCGGCCGTTGCTCTTATTGCCTTTACAGAGAAAAGGAAGCTAAAGGAAAAGCCAGAGCTGGAGTTCAGACAAAGCTCCCGCCATCAGACTCCCGGGCCCCTCTCCCTCAAGCAGAGGGAACGGGACCAGGAAAAGAAGCCAGGAACAGTGCCTCCCTCCTGCCACCCTGAGGCGCCCCTTACTCCAGGGTCCCCCACACCACCTCGGTAGCCAGGCCTCCTTCAGCCTCTGTGAATTCCCTGTGTGCCCCTGTATCCTCTCTCAGATGGGACCCCTCCCCTCTGCTCCCCAGCCGGTAAGAGGGTGGAGGAGACAGGAGAGTGCTGTCTCAGGACAGGATGACAGGCAGGCGGCTGTGGATGGGCCAGGGTCTGAGCTGCACACTCTGCCTGTCCTGGCTGCAGGACACTCCTGCAGGGTTGTGATGGGGAGGGCCATAGGGCCAAGCTGACCCCCACTTCCCAGTCCTCCCCCAGGCCTGGGGCACAGAGCCTCTTGCCAAACAGACGCCCCAGCCCTCAGGAAACCCAGGAGCCCCACTTCACGACTGCTGATCTCCTGAGAAAGAACTGAGGTCCCCAGGCCCAGTTTTCTTGGTACAGGAGCCCACCCTGCCCCATCTCCTTGAACAAAGAAGATAGTGCAGGGTTTGGTGTGGTTGCTCACTGGGCTAAGCTGCTGCTTACAACACCAGCATCATATATATGTTAAAGATTTATTTATTTGAGAGGCAGAGTTACAGGCAGAGAGAAGAAGAGACTGAGAGATCTTTCATCAACTGGTTCACTCCCCAACTGGCCACAATGGCTGGAGCTACGCCGATCCAAATTCAGGAGCCAGGAGCTTCTTCGGGGTCTCCCACATGGGTGCAGAGGCCCAAGCACTTGGGCCATCTTCCACCAGCACCCATATTGAACTGCCTGTTTGAGTCCTAGCTGCTTCATTTCCAATCCAGTTCCCTGCTAACATGCCAGAGAAACCAGCGGAAGATGGCCCAAGTGCTTGGGTCCCTGTCACCCAGGTGGGAGGTCAGGATGGAGCTCCTGGCTCCTGGCTTCAGCCTGGCCCAGACCTGGCTGTTGTGGCTATTTGAGGAATGAACCAGCAGATAGATCTCTTTTTCCCCTCTCTGTCATTCTACCTTTCAAATAAATAAATAAATAAATAAACTTTAGAAGGAAAGAGAGAGAGAGAGAGAGAACCGAAGCGACTGCACTCCATTGCTAGCTGGGAAGTTCACCCAGCTTGGCAGACATGCGTTGTTCTCCCCCTGGAACAGAATCTGGTGTGTGACCATCATACCTGATGGACTGACATCCCCCAAACACCAGGGCCTCCCTCACCAGGAGATGGATCCGTAAATAGTGTGGGGGTGGGGCGTGTGAGGACGGACTGGGGGTCCTGCAGAGGCCAGGCTGGGTTTGCCGGAGACCGCCTTCTTGTGGAGCTGCTCCGCCAACCTTGGCTGGCTCAGCACTGTGTCTAACGGGTCTGTTTTCAATCTGCCCCCTAGCAGGGCTGGAGGAGGGCACGTGGCTCTGTGAGAGAGCCTGCAGAGAGGACAAACAGACTGAAGACCGATTACAGGGTTGGGCTTTGGATCTTGAAGGCAGCTGGGCCTGGGGGTGTGCCCAGCCACAACTCATCCCCTGGTGAGAGGGGCCAGAATCCACAGCAGGTGGGGGAGGGAATGGCTATTCAGTTTTCGGAAGGGAAGGTGTATAGCCTTTGGTCTTTCATTTCTGCAAGGAAGACTTGAAATGACTGCAAGAAATATTGTAGTTACATTGCAGGAAGAGCTAACAAGGAGCGACGACAATCCTTGCTCTCCCCATGGCATTCCAGACTCTTCTTATGTCCAGATCCATTCCTCCGGTCTCCTGTCCCATGTGGGATGCCCTCCCCCCGCTCCTGAGCCAGCCACAGTCTCTCCCAGTTGCAGAGGTCCTTACTAACCTCCATCTACAGGGTCTTCCCAGCCATCACAGCCTGGCCTGGCCCCTTCCCCAGGCCCTTTAGCCCAGTGGGACCCCAGAGAGCTCACAGGAGGTGGGCCAGGCAAGTTGGAGGGCAGCCTGACTTCATCCAGCTTCCCCCACCTTCAACACCAGCACACCCAGCTGGGCTGCCGCCAGTCTCTGGGCAGGGAAGGAGGCAGGAGAAACCTGGGTTTTCGGAAATGTGGGATTGGGGTTTCACACGAAGCCATCTGTTGAAATCCAAGAAAGTGATAATTATCCCAAGTGATTTTAGGACTCTGGAGCTGCTCACGGTCGGAAAATATTTGTCTCACAGACGGGGGTGGGGGGGTGGAGTGGAATAGGGAGAGCCAAATGGAAAGTGCAGGAGGGGGGAGGGGCGTCGGGGGGCCCAGGATGCAGGTCACCTGGCAGGCAGGGCACAGGACCCTGGGCAGGGATTGGGTTACAGCCGGAGCACAGGGAAGGAGTTTGGAATGTTTCCAAGGGGTCCCTGGCTGCAGGCACGCTTCCCTTCCCCGCTCTCCCAGCCAGCAGCTTCTGAATTGCAGGGAGCCAGGTGCCCTGGTCAGCCGGCCAAGGCTGAGGCTAGCCCCTGCCCCCTCCCGACCTCAGGCTTCTGGTTTCTTTCTACTTGACTCACAAGCTCTGAGTCACAGCTGGGGCTGGCACCGGTGGGCGCCCGGCAGTGTGCCCCGGGACCCAGGAGACCGGCCCCCTTCTTGGAGATGCATGCTCCCAGCTCCCCACACCCCAGGCCCCCTTTCCTTCTTGTGCCTGCCTGTGAGGACGCTAACTTGCCCCATCTTCCCTCCTGGGAGCTGGAACACCTCCTTACCCAGCGCTTTGAGCAATTCCTCGAAGTTTTCTGAGCGGATGATCTTCCAGTTGCCAGAGAAGTTGGACATGGTGGCGAGGAGGGTGGCGGTCCCCTAGACCCCTCGGCTGGAGCACTGGACTCTGAGTCTTTTCGTTCGAGGAGCCCTCGCCGCCGCTTTCGACGGATCGGGAAACTCGGGAACCGGGACACGTCTGAGGGCACCGCCAAAGCTGGCTTGGGTTCCCGCGCGGGCGGTTTTTATACCCTGTGCAGCCCGCCCCTGCCCAGGAATGAGGTGGCCCCGCCTCCCGCCCCGCCCCCCCATCTGGGGGGCCCTGCGCCCCGGCCACCAACCCTCACCCTCCCCTTTCCCAAGTCTCTGGATTAAGCCCCCATGGGTGGGTCCAGGGTTTTGCAGGGCAACAACTTAGGCTTCTCCCGCGCCAGTGAATGAATGGGAGGGGGACAGACTGAGGCGAGCGCTTGAATTCGGGCGCCAATGTCCCGGTCTCGCTCCTCTGAGGGCCACGAGATCACGCCTCGCCCGTTCCCCACCCGCACTCAACTCCTTGGCACCAGACACAGGAGACCCCAGATCTGGAGCAGGAGCTGGGGAAGGGAACAGGCGACCGAACTTGGGCTCCACTGAAACCTGACTGGATCCTGAGGGACTGGCTCCAGACTCCGAAGTTGGGGAGTCCGGGGGTTCCCGGGGTCGGGCACGAAGTGAGGCAACGGCGCCCCCTGCTGGAACGACTCTAAGAGGCTGGGAGGGGGCGGCGCGGTCCCCCTACCCCCGGACCTCGCTCTGGGCTTGGGGGATGCCAGGGGACGCGGGAAGTAGGCGCCAGGCGACTCATTCCCCTTACTGAGCTGGGCGGACATCGAAGGGTTAAGCAGGAGCCTGGGGCGCGCGGCTGGGGAGGGCAGAGGTCACAGCCACTCACTTGACACGAGCTCTTTATTAAGGCGTTTTCTCTGTCGCTTCTCTCCCCAGACCCTGAGGGGGTCTCGGCAGGCGTCAGGGAGGGGCTGTGGAGACGGAGACGCCGAGCCCGAGCACGCCGCGCGGCCCCCTAGCTCGGAGGGTGGGTGCCCGGGCAGGGGGCGGAGCGGGTCTCAGGTGTCACCCTCCTGAGCTGTAGAAGCGGGGAAGGAGCGGCCGCCCCTCGGAGCGGCTTTGAAGCGGGTGATCAAAGGAGGGGGGGTGGGTAGGGCACGGCTGCGCGCCGAGACCGGGTGGGAGTGGGCACAACCCGGCTGGAGGCAGAAACTGGAACCGCGGGCGGGCGGGGAGCCCCGCAGAAAGGCTGGGAGTCGAGAAGCCGGAAACCGCCGGGAACGCAGCCGGCCGGGATGCGGTGTCCGGAGCGGGAGGAACCGTCCCGGCCTGCCCCGCGCGGGGAGACCTTGAGGCCGGGTGGTCCTCGGCGAGTCGGTGCACGTGGCCCCGCTGTCCGCACTCCACCCCGACCCCGCATCCTCCCCGGACTTGCCCTTCCGGCTCCTCCTGAGGCGGGACGAAAAGCCCCACATCTGGTCCCGGCGCTGGGTCCTCTCCTTGGCCCCTCCCTGCCAGCGTGGCCAAGGGTGGAGCCGCGGGCTCTCGGACGTTCAGAGCTCTTACCCTTAGAGCCCAGGGGCCGTCCAGTCCCTGGAGGGAGGGAGCCTAAGGAGAGGGGGTGGGCTGGAGGGTTCACGTGGGTTGCGTCGAGAACCCCAGGCTGGGGGATGTTCTGGGGACCAGGCCACTGGGCAGTGCAGAGGGAAGTCTCTAAAGAATGGGTGTGTAGGAAATATAAAGCAGCTGGGCTGAGTGGGCTGCAAGAGGATGGCCCCGACGCTGGAGAAAGGGCTCCTCGCCGGGCCGCCCAGGGGAGCAGATTGGAGGAAGGGAACCGGATACTCGAGCCCCGCTTTAGGAGTCCAGGCTTTGTGTGGCGCGCTTGTTTGGGGATGCCTTTAGGCTGGGGGCTGCTGGGAAGCGCAGACAAAAGCAGAGGTGGAGGGAGGAAGGGGGCTCCGCAGGGAGGGCGCCGGCTGCAGCCAGAGCTCCGCCCCTGCTCAGCTGCGCTGTAGGTAAGGGACCGGGATTAGGTTCTGACAGCCAAATCGGGCTCCTGGCCAAAGGGATGCCGAGAGGCTGGAGGAGGGGACAGGCAGAAAGCAGATCCCTGCCGCCTCTCTTCCCCCCTCCCTGCCCCTGCCTCTCCCCCCAGGTCCACTCCGGCTGGGCTCTGGCTCATTAGAGTCTCCTGTTCATTAGACACCTCTCCTACTGCCAAAGAAAAGGGCTAGTGCGCGGGCCCTCTCCCACAGCAGCCTGGTGACTGCGTGGGTCCCAGGCTGAGGGTCACCTCCCTGTCTGGTCCCTTGACACTGGAGTGGGGGCAGCACAGGCTGCACGGCTTGCTCAGGATAAAGAGGAGGCGGGGGCCAGGGAGGGAGTCTCCCCTGGGTGGGGGGAGGGAGGCCCGGGCTCGCTCCCCCCCCACACTTCCCCACTCCCCCACCAGCTTTTCCAAAGAGACAGAAGTAAGACAAAGGGAAGTCGGCAGGAGGGGAATTCTTTCCAGATGTGAGGGCTTGCGGTTTGGCAGCTCTAGGCCCCCGAGCTCCAGCCCCAGCACCCCAACCCCGGTTGAGGGAGGTGGGCAGAAGGTCTGGGGGTGGAGGTGGCCGCCTCTAGCAGTCCTGTTACCCCAGGGGAGTGGCAGGCGTGAGGGCATGGTGCGAGGGAAGACGCTGGGGAAGGGGGTTGGGGACAGGGAGGGGTGGAGGAGGAGAGGGCTCAGGGGACAGGGAGAGGGACAAAGAGAGATGGATGGAGGAGCCCGGGGCCAAGGGGCAGGGACCAGGACCCTGGAACCAGGCGACCATCAGCCACTGAGTCACAAACAACTGGCTTTAATTTCCCGCTGGGATCAATAAGGGAAGGAATTTCCCCCTTTTAATTATGACCAAATCTGCTACAGATCTGCCTGGGGCCACCCCTTCCCCCTTTCCAGGAACCTCCTTGGGCTTCCCCAGGATTTGGGGGATTCAAGTGTGTGTGTAGGGGTACACAGAGTTGCTGAGAAAAGCAGGGGGAGCAAGGCAGGGTGGGAGTGGGGTGGGAGAATGCAGATGTACTTGAGAGAGGAACTAGGGACTAGGAGGATACTGGCTGGTTTTGCACCAGGAGAAAGAGAGGTGGCCGGGTCATCTTTGGGAGGTGAGGACTGTGTGTGAGTGTGAGGGGTACAGATGTGTGCACAGCTAAGGGGCGGGGGTGGGGAGGCTTGGAAAGAGAAAACCTTGGTCCCTATCACTCCCTTGAGGCTGAGGGGGGAGAGGAGGGTGGAGTGCCTGGAAGGGGGACAGGATGGGAAGAGTAGGGGAATCACGGAGGCCCCCACCCTCACCCCCAACCGGGACCTGGGAGATTCTCCGGCCAAGTTCAGCACTTGGAGAAGAGCTGCTCCCTGAGTTGTGTTATTGCATCTGCCAGTCGGAGGGTTTGTTGGCTCTGACTCATGTTGAAATTAAATGCAGGTGGGGCTGGACACCTGGGTCTCTGGCACTCAGTGCAGAAGCAGCAAAGCTAGCAGGAGCTCCATGGACAGACCGTGGGGAGGACTGGGAGCAGAAGAGGGGTTTGGGAGTCGCAGGGGCAAGACAGTTAATTGTGTCTCCTGGCTGCCCTGTGTCCTCAGCGTCCATGCAGCATGGAACACAGCGTCCTGCCTCCCCGTCCCATCTGAGCCCTGGTGGGCCAGAGGGGAGTGATGTGTCCCCATCTGTCTCCCTGGGTTCAGGGATCCAGCCCTTTTCGAATCTGGTAAGGCCAGGCCCCGATTTGCCCCCAACTCAACCGCCATTGCGGCAGAATGGATGGAAGGCAAACCAAACAGAGCTTCCTGCAAACTCTAGTGCAAGCTGGGAAAGAAGGTCAGAGAGCTCCCAGGAGGCCAACGCCTTTCCCAGACACACCTGGGTGCACAGAAGCCCTGAGAATTAAAAAGCGCGAGTGCAGAGAATCCCAAGTGATCTGGGGACCCAAAGGTGGGAGATGGCAGTGACCTCCAGAGCCAGCATCTGAGCCCCGCAAAGGGAAGCAGGTGTGGCCCAGGAGGAGGGGAGGGTGCAGAGGGCTGGAGCCAGCCCAGGCCAGAGCAGGAGGGATACAGTTAGTGCAGGGGAGCGTCAGCATCACCTCTGACTGGCAGGGATCAGTCTGGCCAGGAGAGCGTCTGCTCTGTGCAACACCCAGGCAGCGCCCTGTTGTTCTTGGCTCTGCCCCTTCGTTCCCAGTCCCAGCTGCCAGCGTTCTCCTCAGGGCTGGGCTGGGTTCATGGAGGGAGGAGGTGGCGATGCACTGGCTGAGGACGTGCCCAGACGAAGTCTCAGTCCCCAGCATGGAGAAGCCAGCCCCAGCGTGACCCGCAGGTAAACTCCTCCTGGCTTTTACAATCTAACTCCTAGGGCAAGACCCCTCTGCCACTCCCATCCCTGGCCTGCGCCAGCCCCTTCCCCTGGCAGCTCAGGGCAGGAGCGAGAAGACTGCAGCCAAATAGCCAGGGTTTGCACAGCACCAGGGAGGGGGCCCAGCTCTGGAAGAGCCACACAGCCTGCAGCGAAGCCCACGTTCCTGCCATGTGGCCCCGGGTGCTGGGTCTGGAGACAGCTCTCAGATACCTCCTCTCCCACTGTCTGAGGATGGCAAATGGAAGAAAAGCAGGGGCCCTAGGACCTCCCTGTCTACCTCCCGTTCAGCCCTGACATGATCTGGAGTTTCTGCAGAAAGAGGAGATGGGGGTGGGCACTGGGCCAGATAAGCGGCTTCTGGGATTGACGAGGAGAGAGGCAGAGAGGGGCCCAGGTCTGGGCTTTGAGATTCTGGCTGGGGACAGAGAGGCCCCTGAGCCCCCTGATTCTGGGGGCCTCGCAGGAGGGGCTGATGGGCAGCACTGACACCAGGCAGCTGCTCGGTGGCTTTTCTTGGTCAGGCTCCTTGAGGCTCCCATTTCCTCTCCTGACAAGCCCCCCGGTGCAGCTCTTGTCTCCAGGCAAGGGGACCCAGCAGTTCAGCCCCCAGCCTGGCTCCCAGGGGCCTATGGGAACTGTCTGCTGGCTCCAGGCCGGAGGCTGGAGTCCCAGGGGTCTGGTGGTAAGAGCCAGCTTCCCCAACCCCAGAGCTCCTCTTGCTGCAGGCCAGAGCCAGGGCTGCTGCTTGGCAGGCCCTGTCCTCTGGGATGTGGGGCCAGACTCCCTGTGGCAGTGAGGTGTGGGGAGATTTCAGCAGAGTAAGGGAGGGCCCCAGGAGCCAAGGTTCCTGGTCCCTGCCCCCATCTTGCCATCTTGAGCAGGCTCGGAATTAAGGAGGGATGCCAGAGTTCAGAGTCTGGCCGCTCAGCCAGGCTAGGGCCTTGTCCTTCCAATGACCCCCTGTCCCCACCCCTCCGGCTGGTGAGAGCCGGGCAGCGGTGGGGGGAGGCCCCAGACTGATCTAGCCCTAATGGCTGTCTCTGGGCAGCATGAACAAAATGGGAAAAAGATGTGTGAGGTGGGAAGCTCTGATTTCCTTTCCCCTGCGGGCGCCAGCTCTGGAAAATGTCAGCTGTCAAAGAAAGAGACTGAGCAGTCTCCCCCCTCTTCCCTGCCGAGCCCCCCCACCCCACAGCCTGCCTGGATTTCAGCAGGCCAGGCGGAGGACACACAGCACCCTGAAGTCGCCGGCTCCTCTACCAGCCTGCGGCGGCAAGGCATCCAAGTGGGATCCGCAGGGACATGTCCCTGGGGGATGAAAGGCACCGGTGGCTCCTGGATTTCACGGCTTTCAAGCTCCCAGCCACGGTCTCACGCCTCCTAAATCCTAGAGCTCAGGGACATCAGGGCCAGGCTTCCAGATGACCCGGGGTTTGGATCAGTCTTCCCAGGGAGCACACAAGGACTGGCCTGGAGAAGGAGCTGTGCTGGCCCCCGACACTCACCTATGTGCCCTTCTTGCTGCTTGTGGACACCTGTGGTCCCATAAACTCCCTGACCCCAGGTGGTGGAGGAGCAGGGAAGAGGCTGTCCCTGCCCCGGCGGTGTGGAGGCCTGTGTATGCCTAGCCTAGGACGCAGACACCGGACTGCTCTGCCGTTGGCCCAGTCCTAGCCCCTTTGCTCCTACCCACCTTCACCCTCCCACCCTTCAGGAACCCTTCTCAGGAACGACCCACTCCTGCAGCCCAGCCCTGGCCTGGGGTTGAGAGCTGCCACGCGGGATTGTCTGCCTCTTACTCCCTCTGGGTTCTGGGTGTGGGCCCCGGCTCCCTCCCCAGCTCCCAGGGCAGGGACCCGGTCAGCTGCCTTCTTCCTCCTTCAGTTAGGAGCTGGATCCTTCTCGTGGAGTCTTTCCAAAAGAGCGACTGAGCAGGATTCCCCGGGGTGGGAGGGAGTGAAGAGGCTGGTGTGTGGGGAAGCTGCCGGGGCCAGGGGTGCCGGACGACTCATTTGCCACGGGCCTGGTACAGCTCTGGGCTGACTCCGGGCCCACCACTGTCTAAGAGCTTAGAGCTTTCTGTGTGCTGTTCTCGGCCTGTCTGCCTCCCAAGCTTTGCTCTTAAACTCTTCAGAGTGGAATCTGGTTGAGCCTGGAAGAGGATTAAGGTGTGCTTGTCTTTCCATGCTAAACTCTTTAAAAAAATTCCTTTCCACACCCTGTCCTATCTCTCTCAAAAGCCTACATATTTATATAGCCTTCCAAAGAAAGCGTTAGAGAGTTGGTGGTGCCCCTTAGCAGGCAGGGAGCTGTGCAAAATAGGAAAAAACAAACTAGCAAACACTACAGCTTAGCAGCACAGAGCATGGGGGAGATGCAAGACCAGGTCCACAGAGGGCGGAGGGGTAGGGGTTGAGAGCCCTTGCTCATGTGATCCCCCCTCAGCCCGGGGGTGGGGGAAGCTGCAGATCACTTATCCTTTTACAGACTCACTGCCCACAAGAGGTCAGACCCCACCCCCCAGCACACTGGGGTCCCCCACTTCGCAGGGTGTGTGTACTTTCTCAGTACTTGCTGGTGGGCCAGGGTGTACAGGGGCTCCAGTGGGAGCTGAATGGCTGAATATGTCAGCTTTGGTTTAAACATTTAAAACATTTTTTTGCTTTTATTTTTATTATTATTGAAAGGCAGGGAGTTCTTCCATTCACATTACTTTACTCCTCAAATGCCCACAACAGCCAGGGCTGGACCAGGAGCCCAGAACTCAACCTGGATCTCCCATGTGAGCAGCAGAGACCCGACTGCTCGAGCCACCGCTGCTGCCTGGTGCACCTTAGCAGGAAGCTGGGAGTCCAGAGCAGGCTGGGGCTTGAGCTGAGGCCTTGCAGCGTGGGACACAGACATCGTAACCATCGGGCCAAATGCCTGCCCCAGACGGAGCAGCCGTGCAGCAGCAACCACACAATGATCATCTGTGTGTGTAAAGTTACATCTGTCCAAGTCGGGCCTCTCCTCACCACCTCTGCCGCCACCACGGCTTATCGTCTCTTCCCCCTGCACTGCTTCTCTGTTCCCACTGTCTCCCTCTCAGCAGCCGCAGGTGTCCTCAATCAGTTCACGTCACTCTTCTGCTCAGAACTCTACCGTGGCTCCCATTTTATTTTCATTTCAGAGGCAAATATAGAAAGATCTTCCATCTGCTAATTTGCTCATGAAATAGCCACAATAGCCAGAGCTAAGGGTGGCGGAGACCCAAGGACTTGAGCCGTCACCTGCTGCCTCCCACAGTGTGCCTTGGCAGGAAGCCGCATGGGGAGCAGAGCTGGGACTCAAACCAGGCCCCCCAATATGGGATCTGGGGCTTCAAGTGCTAGGTCAGATGCTCCCCCCACCCCTCTATGCAGAGTAAATGTTTAAATGTTTAGACCAAAGCTGACATATTTATTCTATGCAGAGTAAAAATGGCCTGGGGCCTGCCTTGTGGTGCAGCAGGTTAAGCCACGGCCCCACAACACCAGCATCCCATATGACTACTGGTTCAAGTCCCAGCTGCTCTCCTTCCAATCCAGCTCCCTGCTAACGCACCTGGGAAAGCAGCAGAGCATGGCAGGGCGAGCTCGGACTCCTCAGGCTTCTCCACAATGCAGGCAGTGCATCCATCCGCCTCAATTGCACCTAAGAAACCCCACCCAAAAGCTGTAAGGCTTGTGCCTGGCACCTGCCGTGGCCTCTTTTTCTTTTTTTTTTTTTTAAACATTCATTTTTTATTTATTTGAAAGACAGAGTTACAGAGAGAGCTAGAGCAGAGAGAGGTCTTCCATCTACTGGTTCACTCCCTAGATGGCTGCAAAGGCCAGAGCTGAGCCAATCCCAGGCCAGGAACCAGAAATTTCTTCTGGGTCTCCCACGTGAGTGCAGGAGCCCAAGCATTTGGGCCATCTTCTACTGCTATCCCAGGCCATAGCAGAGCGCTGGATTAAAGTGGGGCAGGCGGAACTCAAACCTGCACCCATATGGGCTGCTGGCACTACAGGCCAGGGCGTTAACAAACTGAGCCACAGACTGGCCCCGGCCTCTCCTCCTTTCCTGCACGCACCCATCGCGGGTCCCAGTCTTCCTCTGCTTCTCCCCTGGCAGCTACTGGGCACCTCCAACACTTGTTCACCCACCAGCCTTCGAGGGCCCTGACTCCACAGACGCCAACGTCTGTGTCCCCATCCCTTCAGACACTGGCCTCCGGGACCACACCCTGGCCTCCCACGGCAGCCTGCACAACCTCAGCCATTTAAAGTCTCCACTTCTATATTTGGGCTGTCAAATGATGCTAGGGGAAAAAATATCACAAGCAGCTTGCAGTGCCATTGCGAGCTCAGTTTCTGAGCTTAGTCGGTAACTCTGCCACGGCTCCTCGGCTTCCCCCCTTCCCATTCCTCAGTGGCTTCTCCAGACTTCCTCTTCCCCAGCTTCAGGCCCACCGCCTCAAACTTAGCAGCCCACTCTGCCTTCACTGTAAGGAGCAGGATCGCGGTCACCAGGCGTTAACCCCTTTCTTCCACCATCAGCCACCCAGACACGTACAAGGGCACTTTGGAAAGTCAATGGAAGGGGCCGGCATTGTGGCACAGTGGGCTAAGCCACCACTTGTGACACCAGCATCCCATAGCAGCACAGATACAAATTCCAACTCCTCTGCTTCTAGTCCTGCTCCCTGCCAATACACCTGGGGAAGCAGTGGAAGACGGCTTAAATATTTGGGCCCCTGCCACTCACGTGGGAAACCTGGATGGAATTCTTAGCTTTTGGCAGCTTGGCCTAGACCTGGCTGTTAGGGTCATTTAGGAAGTGAACCAGTGGATAGAAGATCCTTTCTCTATTGCTCATAAATCATAAAAGTCAATGGAGGGGCCGGCGCTGTGGCATAGCTCCAGCCATTGTGGCCAATTGGGGAGTGAACCAGCAGGTGGAAGATCTCTCTCTCTCTCTCTCTGTAACTCTTTCAAGTAAAATAAATACATCTTTAAAAAAAAAAAGTCAATGGAAAGTACAATTAAAAGGCAACTATTTTCATGCAAAAGAGTTTTGAAATCCACGTGTAGTTTTTTTCCATAATACATAATTTTTCAAAAGATTATTTATTTGAAAGTCATAGTTACAGAGAGGGAGAGAGGAGAGAGATCTTCCATCTGCTGGTTCATTCCCCAGATGGCTGCAACAACCAGGGCTGGGCCAGGCTGAAGCCAGGAGCCAGGAGCTTCTTCCAGATCTCCCACGTGGGTGGCAGGGGCCCAAGCACTCGGGCTTTTCCCAGACCATTAGCAGGCAGCTGGATAGGAAGTGGAGTAGCTGGCACACGAACCAGGGTCCCTGTGGGACAGCGGCCTTACCTGCTAAACCACAATGCCAGCCCCCATGACATGCATTTCCATGAACTTTTTGATGACCTCTCATATCCATTTGCCCTTCTTCCCTTTCTGTCCCCGATGGTGGCCAAGGCCAAGCTCAGGACTGCAGGCCCCGCACACTGTCAGAGTTCGTTCTGCCACTCATGTCCTTCCTCCCCAGCTACTTTACTAAGATCCACTGGCTCCCTCCTTCAGCATCTTCACAGCTGTCACTCTGTAGGGACTCCCCTCCGCTGGGAGTCAAGGAGGAGCAGCCCACACCCTCTTCTCCTCACCTCCCTCCAGTCCACTGCAATGGAGCTTCTGCCACCCCACCAACCCGTCACAGGCACTGCTCAGATGAGGGGCACCACACTGCTACAAGCAGCCTGTCTGCTGTGCTGCTATCTTGCTGGCCTTCCCAACATTGTCATCTCCCTTCTGGAGTTTCCTCTTTGGTTGTCCCCTTACCTGTCTGGTAGTCCTGTCTTCCTCCAGCAGCTTGTAGGTACAGGTATTTCCCAAGATTCTGATCTTGACCTTTTGGTCTTTATACACCCTCCTAGGAGCCCACATCCCAACCCAACACCTCTATCCCACCGCTGCACCATCTCTAAGCCTTCGTTTCTAGCCCCAGGTCTCTGCTCTGTGAAGCTTCCGATTGCTAAATCCAGCTGCTGACTAGGCCTCTCCAGGCAGCTCAAAGTCAACAGATCAAGATTCAACTCATCTGCCCCCAAATCTGCTCTCTTCCCCGCCAATGCAGCTTTCGGTCTATGTACCCTAATTCAGAGCTAGCAAGTCGATCTCTTCTCCTCCTGCCCCAGCCTCCAAGTCCTGTTGATCCTCCTCTGTGATGCTCCCATGCCTCCTCCCACTTCATTGACTCAAGCTTCAATCATTGCTCACCCAAATTACCCCAGCAAAGCTCATCTCCTGGCTTTCCTCCAATCTAGCGTCCATTTGGCTGCCAGCATCATCATCCAAAAACAGATCTGCTCACATCACTCCCCTGCTTTAAATCCTTGTGTCACTCCGGCCAGCACTTGCCACAGCACACTGAAAATTGCTTACTGTTGTCGTCTTCAGGTTGCTATAAACATGTGGGCAAAGGCAATGTGCTGTTTCCCCAGTGGCCAGCACAGTACCTGGCAAAGGGCAGGTGCTTAATAACTATTTCGGTGGAAGGATTCCAAGTCTCACCAGATGCCGCCTGGACTGTGCTAACCGCAGACTTCAGACAGGCAGACTTGGCATGTCTGAGTGCCAGCACTGGCAACCGCCAGCTATTTGGCCTGGGAAATTCATTACATTTTGTCGGCCTCAGTTTCCTTACCACCAACCTCACAGAGAATGAGATGGCACAAGGTTTAGTGCGATGCCTGGCACGGAGGAACATTCAATAAATTACTGCCATCATGGCTACTGACAGCAATCACAGGCACTGTGGTGCAGCGGGTTAAGCCACAGCTTGCGTCAACTGCATCATACATGGGAAGGCCTGGTTCCAGTACTGGCTACCCCCCGTTTCTGACCGAGCTCCATGCTAACATGCCTGGGAGGCAGCAGACAACGGCCCAAGTATTTGGGTTTCTGACACCCACGTGGGTAATCCAGATGGAGTTCCCAGCTCCTGGATTCAGACTGGTTCAGCCTGGTTGGTAAGAGGCATTTGGGAAGTGAACCAGAAGATGAAACATTTCTCTCTCCCTGTCACTCTTTCAAATGAATATTTTTTTTTAAAAAATCAAGATTACAAAAGAATTCCAAGATTTTCACACTATACCATTGAAACTCTGAGAAATGACTCACTGTCACAAATTTACTCAGGTAAAAATCGGACCTAAAACCCAGTCCCGATGCCATGTAACTTGCTGTTAAGCCGTCAGCTATTGGTGGACTGAGGTATGGGGTATAAGAAAGTGCTCTGTGTACTACAACAGGATTATCGTACTGCTATCTACTGTAGATGTAGGATATGCACAGTTGCACCAGGCATATTACATGCACAGGGGTTCGTAAACTTGAACTTGGGCTAATGTGCCTTGAGGCAAGTTCATAATTACGGTACTGATCTTCCCTATTGTTGGCTGTAATCATCTATTAAACTCAGGAGTCAAATGATTCTCCTTGGAGCCTTCATTATCAGTGGTTCTTAAGGCAGAGGGAAGGGCAGCGCTATCCCAAACACAGGCCATGAGAGCCACTTCCTTACATGAAGCCTTAGACTATCACAAGTACGACTGGCAGGTTACGATTCTCACCGTCTCACCACCACCTGCAGCAGAGGGTCTCCGAGCATTAGAAAATCTCTTGATGCTATGAAAACGCACATGGACACGAGCCTGTATTTATTTTATCATGCATACAGCTCCACTCTGAAGGACCTTCAATTTAAGGCAATTTGGTGTCCCCCGAGGGTGGCAGGGACCCAACTACTTGAGCCATCACCTGCTGCCTCCCAGAGTTGTGCACGAGCAGGGAGCTGAATGGGGAGCAGAGCCAGGACTTGAACCCAGGCCCTCCAACATGGGATGTGGGTATCCCAGGTTGATGGGGATTCAGGCAGAAATCTGTTATGAGCTTTGTCCTGAATCAACTGAAGCCAGGACCCTGGGGACACAGGGACTGAGAAGGAAGGGGGTGGAAGTACAGAAGATTCCCAGGCACCCTTGCAAGCTGAGCTGGGATCCGACTAGAAAAGACCATGAAGATAAACAGTCAAGGAAATGTCTGTAAGGTCCCAGGTTCTTCCTTGAGCCACTACCTGCTAACTACCAGGGTACACATTAGCAGGAAGCTGCAATGGAGAACAGGGCCAGGACTCCAGCTCAGGCACTCTGATACGGGATGTGGGCGTTATAAGCAGTATCGTAACTGCTGCTCCAAATATCCTACCACCCCAGCACCCCAGTTCCTGGTTCTTCTTGGTGACCGAGAGTGAGGGTGAGCTCACTGGACTGGAGAGATTAGGTGCCTTTCTAGCCATGCAGTGGAGCGTACAGTTGATAGCTACTTTACCAAAAGTACCTTAGGGGCTGGCGCTCTGGTGTAGCGGGTGAAGCCGCCGCCTGCAGTGCTGGCATCCCATATGGGTGCTGGTTTGAGTCTTGGTTGCTTTACTTCCAATCCAGCTTTCTGCTATGGCCTGGGAAAGCAGTGGAGGATGGCTCAAGTCCTTGGGCCCCTGCACCCGCATGGGAGACCCTGAGGAAGCTCTCGGCTCCTGGCTTCGGATCAGCGCAGCTCCAGACACTGCAGCCAATTGCAGAGTGAACCAGTGATGTAAGTAAGACCTCTCTCTCTCTGTCTCTCTCCTTCTTTCTGTGTAACTTTTTCAAATAATTAAATAAATCTTAAAAAAAAAAAAGTAGCTCAATGAGAATCTTCCAGTTTGCCAACCACAATGTAACTAAAATTTGCTTCTATGTGTAGTCCCTTCCTGGCTCCCTTCCACCCAGAGCTGTGAAAGGACGCCTGGCGCCTCCTTGTGAGCAGACACGGACACTACAGCTGTTGGGCTACCGCTGCCTGTGCAAGCAGACCCTGCAGTGCAGTCAGACGAGGCCAGCTGGGGTCTGACTTGACTACAGGAAATGCCTTTCTACAGGCAGCCATGCCTGTGACTGGCCCCTGGGAGAGGGCGTAAGTCCTGGTGTCGGTATGGAGCCCGCATCCTCTCAAGACAGAGGACAGACACTGACCTGGACACCAGTCAGAGGCGTGACTCACCTTCCCAATGTGAGGGTGTGTGCCACCAAAGGGCTGGCAGCAGTGAGCAGGCTGGCGTCACCCAGCGCTCCTCTCCCCCGCCGCCCCTCCCTCATGCCTACTCTCTGATTCACCACACCACACTCTCCCGGTCACACACCCTCTGTGGAGGTGTTCCGCGTGGTCTGGGGCATCCTTTTAGGTGTGCTTGATTTGTGGGAGGGCGGAGGACGAGATGTCAAGTGTGAAACAAAGGTTCGCTGGTGTCTCTCCATGCACTCACAAAGGTGACACCCTGGGAATGCCGTTAGAGAACCAGGGCCCCCTCATGCCTTGTGACAAAGCTGTTCAATGTACAGTTACAAAGAAGCCACCAACACCATTGCTTTTCCATTATAAAAATTTATCAAGGGAATTTTTGAGAAGCCTGGTTTAGCAAAGTAAAAGATTAAAACCATTAAATTCTTTTTAAACCCACTAAACACGACCCACATTAAATAAAGCCTCTATTATCTTGGATAAGAGACTGCTTTTCTCAATCAGAAGTTGATTTCCAAGCTACACTCTTGCCTCACTGCCCTGGAACGCTACGGAGAACTACGCCTGACCAGCATGGCTCTCGTGGAAATCAAGGGGAGGAAACAGGTGATACCTGACACAGGCTGGGGTAGACCTGGAGCTGGAAGTGAGGTCTGTCATGTGTACTGGGACTGCGCATTTCATCATCCGACCGGGACACTGACGAGAGCGGAGGAAGGTGCTGCTGATTACTCAAGAACAAAAGGCATAAAACACGAGAGCCCAGCGAGAAGGCCGTGAGGGACACTACACATCCCGGTGTGCCCTGCCCCTTGAGAGTCAAGACGTCCGACTGGCACAAAGTCCTCTGGGACCTGCGGTTAGCACCATTTAAGAAGGTAAACACTGTGGGGCTGGGTTCTGACGGGCGTTTCCCCTTCCGTGGGATGCTCAATCAGACACAGACACAACAGCTCAGGTGAAGTTTCAATGGGTATTAAGTCTAGGGCGAGCCTTTCTCTTCCCAACAAGTCTAGCTTCCAACGGCGTGGAGCTGGTGGAGTGCCCATCCGTGGCCCACCGCCCTGGTTCTCCCGGGGGCTGCCTCTGCCCCCTCGCATCACCAGTGTTCCCACCACTGCTAGTCTTTCGGGGGGTTCTGGGCCAGGTGCTGCTCCCACTCGACTTCAATCAACTTGTAAAGCTCCATGGTGGCCTGGGCATCCTCCACGGAGGAATGTCCGCTCTTGCCCACCTGAACGGGAGGAAGAGAAGAGCGTGAGGCTGCGAGAGGCTGCTCCTCCCTCTGCTCCCCACGCGCTGCTCTTCTGCAGTTAGTGGGCCACGAAACCAGAACCCTGGCCGGGCCCTCCTCCCTGCCCCTTCTCAGCTCCTGGGAAGGCTTTCCCACTGTCTCCTCGGTCCTTTCTGTGGCAGTGTGTCTACGCCGTATTCTAAACCCTGCAGCCACAGAACGTGCCAGACCAAAGCCAGGCCTTGCAAGTCTTCTACCTTCCCAGCTCTCTAAGGGTCCCACGTGGGAGACCTAAGCGCGCAGCTTCCTACCAGGTGGGCCGCCTCACACGCCAGGCACGTGAAACAGAGGAGCGGCCCCGGCATTCCCCACGGGCTCCTCCACCTCCACCACCTGCTCTTGCCCCATAGTCACAATTTTCTATCCACTGCGGCCTTCTCCGCTTTCCAAAGTAGCCTTTGGAACATGCCGTGAGGTAGAGAAGAGAATTATTATTCCTCTGGGGTTACTTAGCCCAACCCCCCCCCCCCCCCCCCCCCCCCGCCCAGTGCAGCCAGAGGACTTCCGGGGTCAGGACGGGAGGGGCACCTGGATGTCCCGGTCCAGCAGCTTCTTGGTGAGGCGCTTCAGAGACATGGTGGCGTTCTCCGGGAAGTCGGCCTTCCGGTTGAGCAGGGGGATGTGGGAGGTGTCACGGGTCAGGGACTTGGGGTGGAAGTACTGGAGGGCTTTGAAGTCGTTGTGGATGGCGTGCCCCACCACTATCTTCCCCGCGAGGATCTTCAGGATCTGGACGGGCGTGGAGAGAAGTGGAGAGGAAGGCGGCGCCCTGGCACCCTGAGAGCCCCACACGGTCCTTCCGGGTCCCTCTCACCCACGCCCACCTGCCCGTCCTCGAAACGCCCTCTCCCGGTTTCCTTTCCCCTGCAGTCCGTCTCCTCTTCCCTGGGATAAAGCACGTGACCCCCATGGCGGGACCCTGCCTACACCTGGGCGGCCACAGGCTCCCTTCCTTCTCATCAACTTCTGCCCCCATGACGACTCACCTACCTTCAGCCTTTTTTAAAACTTTTTTTATTTGAAAGGTAGAGTTAGACAGTGAGAGAGAGAGAGACAGAGAGAAAGGTCCTCCTTCCATTGGCTCACTCCCCAAATGGCCACTACGGCCAGAGCTATGCCGATCCGAAGCCAGGTGCTTCCTCCTGGTCTCCCATGGGGTGCAGGGCCTAAGCACATGGGCCATCCTCCACTACCCTCCTGGGCCACAGCAGAGAGCTGGACTGGAAGAGGAGCAACTGGGACTAGAACCCGGTGCCTATATGGGATGTCGGCGCCACAGGCGGAGGATTAACCAAGTGAGCCATGGCGCCAGGCCCTGCCTTCAGCCTTAAATAAAACTCACGCTTCGGATGTTCGCTGCACTGCCCAGCTCAGTGCTGCCTGCTACCTGAAGTCCTTCAGTTTTCCCAGCGTGCTGGCCATAGACACGTGCGCAGGCCTCCTCGGCCCCCCAGCAGAGGCCAGGCTCAGCTTCCTAAGGGCACTGGGGCATGGGCACCGGGGAAGTGCTTTATGGCAGAACTACACGCACTCCAATGAACAGTGCACCTAGCTGCTCCTCACCACCTGGCTTCGCTGTCCACCGCCAGCTTAACTTCTCGTTACCCTCAACAGCCCGCGTTAAAGCGGAGCGGATCTGCCGTCAGTCCCATCCCACCTCCTGCCTCTCCAACAACCTGAGCCACCACTGGCTGCCTCCCTGGGTATGCGTTGGCAGGAAGCTGGATCAGCAGCTAGGGTTGGGAAACAAACCCAGGCACTCTGCTATGGGACGTGGGTGTCTTAACCATTAGCCCAAACACCCCTCCCCCCAGTCTTCCCTAACAACCAGCCATTTCACCTCTGCTGAACTTCCTGAAACTGAAGGTTCTGGCATAGAGGGAATTATTCTGAGATGTCTATAGCAAAGGCGAGCAATGCGGAGCCAAAATTGGACTAAGAGCGCCCTCTGGTGGCCTTCCAAGACCAGCCGGCTCCCTGTTCCCGCGCTTTCATTTAGGCCTTGCTCAGCTCATCCTCCTTTCCTGATGGTTTGTGGTCTCAGAGGGACAGGATGAGTGGGTTTGCTCACGAGTGCGATGAGACTCATCACACCCACCGTGTCCTTCATGCCCTACCTGTTCCACTTAAACGTGCGCCAGGTCCCCACCATTCTGCTCTCCTCCACTGCTTTCCGCACTTGCTCCAGGCTTTTTGCTTCAGACGCTCATCTCCACCTCTCTGCTCTCAACCCTGGGATCCAATCCTACAAGGCACTGAGCCCTCTCTCCCAGCACCCATGCCTGCTGTCTAGTTGTATCAGTAGCGGTCTGCTATGCACAGTCCCAGTTCCCCAGGTCAGGACCCCAACTTGGCACCTAAAGTCGGCCTTGACAATACTTGCTGCACCCCCTAATTGGACTCTCTGGACTTCAGCCACTCCTTACCCCAACAGAAGGCCTCCTCATAGGAGGAGCTCATAGTTCCTCCTTCCCTCCATGATCCTTTGGTGCCTTCCCAGAACACCCTTGCTTGGTCTTGGACCTCTCCTCACCCACCTGCGGCCTCCAGCGAGTCCCACGCCCCATACCTGGCTGCGAGCAGTCTTGAAGGGTGTGGCATGGAGCATGTGCTGTTTCCGGATGCCACTCCACCTGGTCCTGTAGTCCACGATGCGGCACGGGGGCAGGATGTACTCGTCGTACAGCACGTCCCCGTCGTAGTTGACGATGCTACACCGAGCCAGGGAGCTGACGTGCCCCTTGGGGCCTGTGCCCACCATCTCACAGTCAATCGCCACCATCTTGCTCGGAGCCTTCTGGGCTGCTCGGGAGAGCTTATTCTCGGAGTGGGCCTGGGCGGGGGTCGGGGCGGCACTCTTCTGGGAGCCCTTCTTCTGGGGGCGGGTGGGGTGGCTCTTAATCTTCGGAAGGGCACTCTGGAACTCGCCCAGCAAATCCACCTGTGCTGCTATCGCGTCGGCCTTCTTGGAAGGCGCAGGGGTCAGCCAAGACACTGCAGCCTTCTTCCCCAGGGGCTGCTCTGCCCCGGTGCTGGGGGCCCCTGTCTTCTTTCTTGGCAGGGAAGGGATCTGCCAAGCGCCATCCACTTTAGGAGCTTCTCCTTTCTTTGGAGGGTCTGCGTGCAACTTGGGGGCCTTGCTAGGGGGCTGGTTCTTTTTGTTCAGAAAGCCTTTCCGCTCCAAGAGCCGCCGCCTCTTGACAAAACTTCGGTGCTTGGCATTGCCTTCTAATGCCTTTTTGGGAGGAGGTTCCCCAAAGTCCAGGTTCAGCAGCAATGAAGACATGAGGACAGCAGACGGTAGGAGAGGAGCTGGGAAGCGTGACTTATGGATGACAAGATGGGGGGCTCATTCTCCGCCGAATCCCACTCCCCAACATGTGGAGGTTGGTGGTAGGGCCCTGGGGAAGAAAGTGACCCTGGTAACGGAGCCCACAGGTCTCGGGGGTTGGGGGAGAGGATGAGCTACGACGGATCCACGGGGGACTGAAGGGAGGAAAGACATCAGCGCAACCTCTGATACAGGGCAGCAATCTGTGACACGCCGTGAGGGAACAACTGCTACGAGCCCGGAGGCCCGGATTCTGGCGAAGGCCCACAGCGCACCAGCCAGCCGTACGGTCTTAGGAAGTCCGCGCTCCCTCTCTAGGAATCAGCTTTGTAAAATGGAAGGCTCACTGGGCCCGATGGCCCTCGAACTCGGGAGAGTCTCGGAAGCCGAAGAGGGGGAGCTCCGGACCCGCCTAAGAATGTTGAGGAACGCTTGATGGCAGCGAGACGCACGGCAGGATGCCCTAGGATGACCCAGGCATCCGCGGCGCCGGGCCCGCCAGGACACAAGTGCAGGTACCCCTCCTCCTCGTCTCCAGGTCAGGCGGCGTCGCCAGGGACACTTCACCCAAGGCTTCCAGAGCGAGGACCCCTGCCACCACACACCAGGGGCCGAGGACACGAGGACCGAGGTGGCGCGCCTCGTCCTCCCACGCTCACATACCTACCTCCTAGGCGGGCCCCGCTAGGACCGGAAGCGCCCGGAGCCGGATGCGGAAATCGGTGCGCGCCGCCGAGGCCCCGGACGGCAGGCGCGCGGGTTGGACCGCGCCGGGGGCCGGCGTGCGCGCGCCCGCAGCGCCCCTACCTCCGGGAGCGAGGCCAAGGACTCGGAGTGTGTGAGCAGCGGCAGCGGCGGCGGCGGCGGCGGGGGCGTGGGCGGGGGCGGGGGCGGGATCCGCTCCCCGGCCCCTCTAGCCCCGTGGAGGTACAACTTGAAGGTGTGGTGAGGCCGCGACAAACCGGAACTACAGCGCGCCAGGGACCCCAGCCTCCACTTCCGGGAGAGGAGGAGCAGTGTGCGGGAAGGGGCGGGACCTGGAGCTTGGCCCGCCCCTCCCCTTGGGGGTGGTGCCGCGCCACGCCTCTGTGGCGTCACGGCACCGTCGCCTCCACCCCCGCCTCACGTGCGGCCGACGCTGTGGGACGTCGCCACCTGTGACGTCGGAGGGGCGCCCAGCATGGTTTCCCAGGAAGACAGTCCGGGTTCTGCACATGCGTGGTACTGACCCTGGATCCCTCCTCACGGCGCACTGGCTCCCTGCGCCGCCGTCTGGACGCCGAGATGCCAGGCGTCTCCGCCCGGGGCCTCTCTCACGAGGAGAGGAGGCAGCTAGCTGTGAACCTCACCCGTGTCCTGGCGCTCTACCGTTCCATCCTGGACGCCTACATCATCGTGAGGCCACAGGGGTGTGGGCGGGGAGAGAGTTAGCCTCTGATCTCTTTTCTTCTGTCGGTCTGTACAGGGAGGGGTTAAAACTGGGACGATCCCTTGTTTTCGAGCATACACTTAATATTTAGAAATACTTAGGCGACAAAAACACAGGGACAGAGCAGCCAGGTTGCAACTACTTGGAGCTCTCTTAGGAGCATATGAGATGTTCTGAGAAGACACCTTTGCTCATCAAGCTTTGAGTGCATTCCTGGTTTTGTGGTGGGGCAGACCATTCCAGCTGTGCAATCAGACTTGGATTACAATCCTGTCTCCCCTGCGTCGTTAACCTTAGGCTTTTTGTTGTTGTTGTGTTTTTAAAGATTTATTTATTTATTTGAAATGCAGAGAAGCAGAGAGAGAGAGGTCTTCCATCCGCTGGTTCACTCCCCATATGGCTGTAAGGGCTGGAGCCGGGCCAATCCAAAGCCAGGAGCGTGGAGCTTCTTCCGGGTCTCCCACGTGGGTGCAGGGGCCCAAGGACTTGGGCCATCTTTTACTGCTTTCCCAGGCCACAGCAGAGAGCTGGATCAGAAGCCGAGCAGCTGGGACTCCAGTCGGTGCCCATATGGGATGCCAGCACTACAGGCAGCAGCTTTACCTGCTATGCCACAGCGCTGGCCCCAACCTCAGGCTTTTTCAAGTTTATTCATTCATTCTTTTCACTCCTCCTAGCTCTGGTTTTCTCAGCTGTGAAATGGATCCTGATCTGAAGGATCATTGTGAAGAATTAATGATACATAAATTATCCCACTGAGTTGTTCAGAGCCCAGAAGCTTTGAGTCAGCTCTTCCTTTGATTCATGGTCAGTCCGTCAACAAGTCCTGTTGGCTCTGCCTTCAGAGTAGATCCCAGATTCCTCTGTTTGGCTCCGGCTACTGCCCTGGGCCAAGCCGCCGTCATCAGTCCCCCAGCTGGTTAGGTAGCCAGCCTGTCCATGTTAACTTCCACCCTGCCTTAAGCAGTTCTTCCCGGAGCAGCCAGGCTGAAGCCTTGCATATGTCAGTGCTGTCGTGATACGGCCATGCTTCCTAGGTGCGTTGATGAAGTCCTAACTCGTAAGCTGTACTTGTAGGGCCGTGGGTGCTCTGGCAGCCTCATCACGCTGCTGACTTCCCACATTCACTGGCCTGTGCCTGTGCTCACCCGGTTTCTGTTCCACAGACCCGGGGGGCATCCGGGCCTTTGCACTTGCTGATCGGCAGAGAAAGGCAATGCCTTGGGTTGGTTACACCTTTAGAGTAAAGGACTCTAGAGTAAAATGGGTTTCACGTGCCCACTCTGTTAGGTGCTGGCTTTTTGATGGAGGAGTCACTTAATGGCTGTGCCTCAGTTTCCCCAGCTGTAAAACCAGAGAGAAAGTAGCACCTCCCTGGTTGGGGTGATTATAAAGTGTATGAATATGTGTCAGATATTCACAGTAGTGCATAGAAAGCATTGTGTATCTGTGGCTTCCTGTGTTTTCTTTCCATGTCTGATTCCTGGCCGTCGTTGAAGTGTCAGCTCACACATGTCGGCTGTTCAGAAAGTATGCTGTCAGCCAGCACTGCGGCTCAATAGGCTAATCCTCCGCCTTGCAGCGCTGGCACACTGGGTTCTAGTCCCGGTTGGGGCGCTGGATTCTGTCTCAGTTGCCCCTCTTCCAGGCCAGCTCTCTGCTATGGCCCGGGAGTGCAGTGGAGGATGGCCCAAGTGCTTGGCCCCTGCACCCCATGGAAGACCAGGAGAAGCACCTGGCTCCTGCCTTCGGATCACCGTGGTGCGCCAGCTGCAGCGCACCAGCCGTGGCGGCCATTGGAGGGTGAACCAACGGCAAAAGGAAGACCTTTCTCTCTTTCTCTCTGTTTCTCTCTCTCACTATCCACTCTGCCTGTCAAAAAAAAAAAAAAAAAAAAAAAAAAAGAAAGTCTGCTGTCCTCACCCTTACCTGAAGCAATTTTCCCACACACTGCTCATGGCATTACTGTGTCATTGGTGCTTTGTTGTCTATGTGGCGTCAGTGTCGTGTGAAGGGTTTCTTAATGTAAGCTCTGTAAGAGCAAGAACCTCCTCTGTCTGCCTCACCGTTGTATCGTCTGGGCCTAGAAGAGAGCTAGCCCTGTAAGAGAACATAGCACCAGCATTTGGGAGAAACCAGAGAAGGCCACAAATACACAAGTGCCTGACGCACATAAGGGCAGCTTACTGGACGGTAACGTGGCAATACAGGGTGGCAGCCACAGGAGCTGTGCTAGGGGTGCACATGGGACGGAACACCACGCCATCCCTCCCCTTAAGAAACTCGGGGTGTGTGGAATAAACGGAGAGAGATGAGAAGGGAGGTTGTGTGCCCAGCATGCTGTCTGGGCTCCTGGGAGTTGGGGGAGCTGGAGGAGGCCTCAGGGAGGAGCCTATTCAGATGGTCAGGAGGTCCCCGCGGGTCGCTGCCGGGGCCTGTGTGGCTGCGGTACTGGAAAGAGGCAGGTGCTGAGGTGAGGCGTTGAAGTGATGGGAAGAATGGGGATGTTACTCGGCCGCAGCCTGCTTACCGCTTCTCTCTCTCCTGCAGGAGTTTTTCACAGACAACCTGTGGGGCACACTCCCTTGCTCATGGCAGGAAGCCTTGGATGGATTAGAGCCGCCACAGCTGGCCACGTTGCTGCTGGGGATGCCTAGGGAAGGGGAGGTGGCCAGGTATGCGCTCCGGGGACCCTGGGCTGGGGAGCTCGGGGCGCTGAGTGAGCCACGGCGCAGAGGGTCTTACAAGGTCTCCGGGGCCCCTGGGTTGTAAGCTGGTTCGCCTGGGATACGACAGGGCTGCTCACGGAGGCCTGGACTGGACTATCTCAGGTACAGCTCAGTGTGGCCACTCACCCTGCTGGCCCTGAAGTCCACAGCCTGTGCTCTGGCCTTCACCCGGACACCTGGCTTCCAGACCCCCTCAGAGTTCCTGGAGAACCCCAGCCAGAGCTCCCGACTCACAGCTCCATTCCGGAAACATGTCAGGCCTAAAAAGCAGCATGAGATCCGGAGGCTGGGAGAGGTAAGGAGGTGGCTGGAGTGTAGCTGGTACCCGGAAGCGCAAGGGACTCCGTGAGCCCGTGGGTGACCGAGCTAGGTGCCCCTTGAGCTCACACGCAGGCCCAGAGGCTGCTGTACTCGGAGCTGCACGCCTGGCTTCGTCGTCCTGTGGCTGGGTTCTTTGGCGGCTCTGAGTTGGTGTTCTTCCTGTTTCACATCTCTGCAGTCCACTCACGGCTCCATAGCAGGGCTCTTGTCCCCTGGGACTCAAGGGGCCAGGACAGTGGCCTACACCTGGGGTCAGCAGCGACCCTCACCTCTGCTTTGCTTCCTGCGTCTCTTGTCTTTTCCATGGCACCCTCTGTCCACCCTCCCCGTCACCTTCAGCTCCTCCACTCTTATTATGAGCGTTGGCCCAGGAGTCAAGAACCCATGGCCAGGACACCTTTGCTCCCCCCTCTTTCAGTTGGTGAAGAAGCTGAGCGACCTTACGGGCTGTACCCAGGTCGTGGATGTGGGCTCAGGCCAGGTGAGTTCATTGTTGAATTCATTTTTTCCTAATTATTTATTTGTTTTTATATATTTGAAAGGTAGAGAGACAGAGACAGCCATCCCTCTTTTATCTGCTGGCTCCCTCCCCAAATGCCCACGACAGCCAGGGCTGGGTTGGGCCAGGCCAAAGCGAGGACCCGGGAACTCCATCCGGGTCTCCCACATGGGTGGCAGGGGCCCAAACACTTAGGCCGACTTCTGCTGCTTTCCCAGGTGGCATTAGCAGGGAGCTGGATCAGGAGCAGAGGAGCCAGGACTTGAGCCGGCGCTCTGATATGGGATGGTGGCATCGCACGTGTAGGCTTAACCCACTGTGCCACAACACCCTCCTCCCTCTCTTGACTCCAGGGCCATCTGTCGCGCTTCATGGCTCTGGGGCTAGGACTGACAGTGAAGAGCATTGAGGGGGATCAGAGACTGGTGGAGAGAGCCCAGCGCCTGGACCAGGAGCTCCTGCAAGCGCTGGAGAAGGAGGAGAGGAGGAACCCACAGGTGGGCCGCCCCTTCCTGCAGGCTGGGCTGCGGGAGCAGGGGCTGCCTGGCTGGAGTCGGGCGTGCAGGCTGAAAGCTGCCTTCCGGTTTCTCAGCTGAGATGACGTGGTCCCGGTTTTTGCCACCTTTTCCCAAGGTTCCCCTTCCCTACCCACCCCCCCCATGTCTCCACGGCACTTTCTAGTTACTAAGTGCTTTCTACCCATACAGACTTGTCACCATATCTTGTCACTGTGAGGTGCCAGTCAGGTACTAGACTCACTACACAAAAGAAAACTGGGTCTCCGGGAGGAAAAGATGGACAATCAGTCATAGTGGACCCAAACGTTCTCCTGATTGACGGCCCAGCTCTCTCCCGTGCCCTGCCTCCCTGCCCATGTTCCTCTCTGGGAAGCAACAGAGGGCAGATCCCTTCCTGGGGCCTGAGGTTGCCCAGCCTCCTCTCTCCTCTCCTGCACAGGTCAGAAGCGGCCCTCGCCACTGCCCTCACCACGTGGTCAGGTGGGTCGACCCCACGGCCCTGTGCGAGGAGCTTCTGCGTCCGCTGGAGAAGCCGGCTCGGGGTGGAGCCCGCCTGCTGCTGACAGGCCTGCACGCGTGCGGGGATCTGAGCGCCGCCCTGCTCAGGCACTTCTGCTGCTGCCCTGAGGTGGTGGCACTGGCCTCCGTGGGCTGCTGCTACATGAAGCTGAGCGACCCGGGCGGCTACCCGCTGAGTCAGTGGGTGGCTGGGCTGCCTGGCCACACACTGCCCTACCGGCTACGTGAGGGGGCCTGCCACGCCCTGGAGGAGTATGCCGTGCGGCTGCAGAAAGCCGGCCCCGGCCTCCGAACCCACTGCTACCGAGCGGCCCTGGAGACAGTCATCCGACGTGCCCAGCCAGAGCTCCGGCGGCCAGGAGTGCAGGGCATCCCCAGGGTCCACGAGCTCAAGATTGAAGAGTGAGCTTGGGGAGTGGGGGCCTGGGGACAGGTCTGGGAGGCTTGCCTTCTGCCTTGTTAGCCTGGCCCAGAGAGAATGTCAGTGGGCCGGTTCGGAGTTTTCTGACATGGGCAGCTTCTCAGAATTTCCTTAAAAGGGAGCTGCCCATCTCACCAGGAGGCTAACAGAGTTTTTAAAATACTAAACGTGGCCAACTAATGGGACAGAACTGGCAGATAATACACTTTGGACCGGTTTACTACCGGACAGTCAGCTCACATGGAAACGTTCGCAAATGCACTTCTGGGTGGAGAATCAGCACAGTTGGGATTGAATTAGGAACAGGCAAAGATTAAGTGGGAGGTGGAGGTTCCTAAAACCACACTGAGTGCTGTCCATGGTGGACCTCACAGATACGTGCAGAGGGGACTACAGCGAGTAGGCCTGGACCCCCAGCTGCCGCTGAACCTGGCTGCCCTTCAAGCCCACCAGGCCCAGGAGAACCGCGTGGTCGCCTTCTTCAGCCTGGCCCTGCTGCTGGCCCCACTGGTGGAGACGCTGATCCTACTGGACCGGCTGCTCTACCTTCAGGAGCACGGTGAGGGTGGACTCAGTAGGGCCCCGGGGCCACATGGGTAGTCTTGGGGTTCCTTCAAGTCCTGTTTGCTGCTTCTGGTCGGCTTGTCTTATCACTGTGGTGATACTGTTTTTAAAGATTGAGTTAAGGGGCCGGTGCTGTGGCGTAGCAGGTTAAGCTGCCATCTGCAATGCCAGCATCCTATGGTGGGCACTGGTTTGAGTCCTGGCTGCTGTGCTTCCAATCCAGCTCCATTGAATGTGCCTGAGAAACAGTGGAGGATGGCCCAAATCCTTGGGCCCCTGCCACCCATTTGGGAAACCCCAGTGACGCTCCTGGCTTTGGTCTGGTTGTTCTGGCCATTTGGGGAATGAACCAACAGATGGAAAATCTCTATCATAAATCAGTAAATAAATAAATCTTTAAAAAAAATTGAAAGGCAGAATGATGGACAGATTGTCCATCTGTGGGCTCATTCCCCAGATGAATGCAAGCACCAGGAACTCCATTCTGGTCTCTCCTGTGGACGGCAGGGGGAAGTGGGGTCACCTGTGCCGCCTTCCCAGGTGCATTAGCAGGAAGCTGCCTCATCAGTGGAGCAGCGCTGAGACGGGATGCTGGCTTTGGCTTAACCTGCTTTGCCAGTGTTGATTCTTTTTAAAATTATTTGTTTATGGGGCTGGCACTGTGGCAAACCAGGTTAAGCCACAACCTGGGATGCCAGCCTCCTATATGGGTGCCGGTTGGTATCCTGGCTGCTCCATTTCCAATCCAGCTCCCTGCTAATGTGCCTAGGAAAGCAGTGGAAGATGGCCAAAGTTCTTGGGCCCCTGCCATGGGAGACCCAGATGGAGTTCTGGGTTCCTGGCTTCAGCCTGGCCCAGCCCTAGCTGTTGCAGCCATTTGGGAAGTGAATCTGCAGATGGAAGATCTTTTTCTGTCTCTCCGTCGCTCTTTCCATAAATAATTTTTTTTTTTTTTGACAGGCAGAGTTAGAGAGAGAGAAAGGTCTTCCTTTTTCCGTTGGTTCACCTCCCACATGGCTGCTATGGCTGGCGTGCTGCGCCGATCCAAAGCCAGGAGCCAGGTGCTTCCTCCTGGTCTCCCATGGGGTGCAGGGCCCAAGGACTTGGGCCATCCTCCACTGCCTTCCCGGGCCACAGCAGAGAGCTGGACTGGAAGAGGGGCAACCGGGACTAGAACTCAGGGTGCCGGCGCCACAGGCAGAGGATTAGCCAAGTGAGCCATGGCACTGGCCTCCATAAATAAATATTAACAACAAAAAATGCAGATTCCTACCAAGCAGCCATCCCAGGCACCGAGAACCTCCACTCCACTGCAGGAAGCTACCCCCGACCCTCTCACCCCGCTTTTAGTGCCTCAGGCACCTGTGTTCCTCCACGGACAGCCTGCCTGCGGGGAGCTGTGCCTGCAGTCAGCTGAAGAGGCGGTATCCAGGTCAGGTCATTTCCGCCTCTGACTAGCCCTGCCTTTTCCTCAGGCTTCCATGCTGAGCTCCTGCCCATCTTCAGCCCTGAGCTATCTCCCAGAAACCTGGTGCTGGTGGCCACCAAGATGCCCCTGGGTCAGGCTTTCTCTGTCCTGGAGACTGAAGACAGCTGACATGTGCAGTCCCTCAGGAAAGCACCCGGATGCCGGCGTGGCCCAGCGCACCTAGCACAGGAGCCAGCTCCCCGCCTCCTCCCGGAATCCTGCTGCCCCTCAGCTTGTGTGTCATAACTTCTTCCCCCTGTGTGTGTGATATCATAGTGTGTAAAATCTTGTTTTTAACTTATTAAAAAATGGAAGACTGTATTTCCCTTCTGTGTGCATAAGCTGTGGGAAGGAGAGCTGTGCCCCCCTCCTCCCACCGAGGCAGGCTTGCAGAAGTGCCGTCGGTCTGGCGCCATTCCCCACGGCCCTCTGACGGGCGGCAGAGGGCTCTGCCTTTGGTGTCTGTCCCGAGGTTGCCTGACTCCATCAGCTCTGTCACAGCATCGGGAAGAAGAGGCTGCTTTCCCTGAGCCCCGAGATGGTGTGTGGGGAGTGGGGGCCCTCCTGCCAGAGACAACAGCGATGCACGCGAGGCCTCCTGGCTCTTTATTGGCACCTGAGGGGCAGCCGCCGTCCTCAGCTCAGTACCAGTAGACTTTCTTGTGTTTCCGGGTCTCCTGGATGCCCATGGCCTCCATCACTTCCTCCTCCAGCGTCTTCAAACGGGGCACATAGGTCCTTTCTAGAGCATCTTCCACCGACGTGTCTTTGGGGCCATCTGTGGAGTCCGAGGAAAGATGGGTGGGAGGCTCGCCAGCTTCTTCACACCCGACCCTCCCAGCACCCACCTCCCCAGCCCTCGCCCAGCCTCACCAATCCATGTTTCAGGGACGATGCCATCGGCTCTGGGAAATTCAGGTTTGGGGATAATTCTCCCTGATCTTGTGGAGACTCGAACCCGCTCTCCTGCCTCAGTGAATCGCCACTCGATCTCAGTAGGTTTCCTGGTGGAAAGAGGTGAGCCTGGCCTGCAAGCCAGGCCTCCTGCCGCCCTCCAGCCCCGTGGAGCCAGGGGTTGGAAACATCACCACCTGGTGCTCTCCCCCTCCACTGGGGCTGCCTCAGAGTCATGTCCAGGAGACGGCCTCCCTCAGTCTCCAGAGCTCCCAAACCCCCCGCTCCCTGTGGAGGAATGGCTGCTACAGACAGCGCCTTGGTGGACTCGGATGCTGACAAACCCTCAGACGAGAGCCCCCGTGTGCTTGCCTGTCCACGGGATCCACAAGTTTGACCTGGCGGTGGAGCAAGGGGGCTTCACTCGGGATCATGGTTCCCCGGAAATCCTTGGTCTTGCCAATGTAGCGGTAATGCTGTCCAAGAGAGGGCGAGCGTCAGCACGTGGCGGCTGTGAAGGGCCTGCCGCCGCCGCCGCTCGGCATGTCCAGCCCCAGTTGGAAAGTAGATGGTTCAGTGGTCTCAGCCAGCCTCCCGCCACCTGGGTGGCTCCCAGTGGAGACGGCTTCCTGAGCATCCCCGTGCCCGCTCCTCACTTACTGTGTTCAGTCCCTCCAGGACCACCCAGTTTCGCTGCCGGATAACTTGAACCACTTTGCCCTGCTTCCCGGCATCCTTGCCTTCTAGGATCTCCACCTGTGGGAAGACGCGAGGCTCAGGGAGGAGATCTTTGCCCACGAGCCTCCCGGTCCTCCTGCCCCTTGCCTGAGGCGCTCACCGTGTCCCCACAGAACAGATGCCAGTCTTCATCGGAGATGGGCTCCACGGCCACTCGGCGCCTCCTGGTGCCTGGGGGGTTCTTCCTCTTGTCTGCCAGGGAGCCTGGGCGGCTCATCCCATAGCGGTAGTGGGGGGGCAGGCTGACCTTGGATGCCAAGGCCAGCAGGGCAGAGAGACGCATGGCTGGAGGCTGTGAGAAATCCCCACCAGTGGAAGGCTCCTCAGCTCGGGCGGATGGACAGCCACAGGGCAGACGTTCCTCAGGGCCTCATCTCACTGAATCCTCACAGGATGACACTTACTCCACCTCAGAGAGGAAGGGACAGGCTAGTACCTCACCACAAAGAGAGTCAGCGTCGGAACCTACACACAGCTGACCTCAAAGTTCTATTCATGAAGGCCAGGGGCCATGTTACCTGCCTCACCCTGAAGCCAGCACATCCCAGTAGTGCTTGGCACATAGTAGGTACTCAATAAAGTTAGGAAATGAAAGCATGAACAACAGGATTGGATAGGAGTAGGTGAGGGAACAAAAATACAGGCACAGGGTCAAAAGGCAGTCATAAGGCAAAACAAACCAACGGCAGTAGAGATAAAAACGGGTTAAAAATGTCCCTATCAGGGCCGGCATTATGGCTTAACAAGTAAAGCTGCCGCCTGCAGCACTGGCATCCCATTTCGAGTCCCAGCTGCTCCTCTTCTGATCCAGCTCTCTGCTATGGCCTGGGAAAGCAGTAGAAGATGGTCCAAGTCCTTGGGCCCCTGCACCCACGTGGGAGACCCAGAAGAAGCTCCTGACTCCTGGCTACAGATCAGCACAGTTCTGGCCGTTGTGGCCATCTGGGGAGTGAACCAGCGGATGGAAGACCTCTCTCACTTTCTCTCTCTGCCTCTGCATCTCTGTAATTCTGCCTTTCAAACAAATAATTTTTTTTTTTAAAGTCCGTATCTCACTTCAACCCCTATCCTCAGGAAATAAGCACTCTTCCTGCAGATAGCTGTTCTAAAGGAACAAGACCCCAGGCTCAAGGATTACTGGGCCCTACAATTCCCAACTAATATGTGTTCTAAGCCTGCCAGTTTTAGGTGATGGACTAACCTCATGGGGCAGTGAGAGAAGGGAGAGCAAATTACAAAGTGCTTCTGTCGACTGAGCACTTGCTACATGCCGGGGGCTGGGCTAAGTGCCTTCCTGTATCATCTAACTTAGCCTGAAGATGAGCAAAGGTACCGTTGATCTCATCCTTCAGGCCAGAACGAACCCTAACTACAAAGTACAAATACAGTGCACCGTCACGGCATAAAGGGCCCCGGGCTGGGGTCAGCCCACCTGCCTCCCTGTTGGCCGCTGGGTTCTAATCCCTGCTCTGCTATTGTCCCGTGTGACCACAGCAACATCAGTATTCTCTCTTTTGGGTAAATTATATGTGTCTGTGTGTGTATTTGGCACAGGGATAAATATTTATGGGAAGGAAACAACAAACTAATGTACTTGTTCTCAGAAACTGTTAATTTCCATTTTTGTTCCTTTTCACAACGTCTGCATTTGTCTAACCACATGCATTAAAGAAAGTATCACCTGGCTGGCACTGTGGAACAAGCGGGTAAAGCCGCCGCCTGCAGTGCCGGCATCCCATATGGGTACCGGTTCGAGTCCAGCTGCTCCACTTCTGATCCAGCTCTCTGTTATGGCCAGGGAAAGCGGTGGAAGATGACCCAAGAACTTGGGTCTGCGTGGGAGACCCAGAGGAGGTTCCTGGCTCCTGATCAGTGCAGCTCCGGCTGTTGCGGCCAGTTGGGGAGTGAACCAGCAGATGGAAGACCTCTCTCTATGTAACTCTGACTTTCAAATAAATAAATAGGCCAGCACTGCGGCTCACTTGGCTAATCCTCCACCTGCGGCACCGGCATTCGGGGTTCTAGTCCTGGTTGGGGCGCCAGATTCTGTCCCGGTTGCTCCTCTTCTAGTCCAGCTCTCTGCTGTGGCCCAGGAAGGCAGTGGAGGATGGCCCAAGTGCTTGGGCCCTGTGCCCACATGGGAGCCCAGGAGAAGCACCTGGCTCCTGGCTTCAGATGGGTGTAGGGCAGCAGTCCTAGCAGCCATTTGGGGGGTGAACCAATGGAAAAGGAAGACCTTTCTCTCTGTCTCTCTCTCTCTCACTGTCTAACTCTGCCTGTCAAAAATAAAAATAAATAAATAAAATCTTAAATAAAAGTATCACCTGGTTTATTTAAATAGAGATAGGGGGTCACTTTTCTTTTTATATCTCAGTATGAAAAAAGTTCTGATTCTATTATTAATTAGTGCTGGTTGAGGTAAGAGCGTAAGACAAGCAAGAAGAGAATGAAAAAACAAGGAACCGGTAAGTGCTACGGGGCCTGCTATGTGACAAACCTAGTGTTGGGGATTTCAGTATTCCTGGCTTTGGGCTTCACCTTGCTCAGGGAACGAAGGTGCTGGATACAAGCACGGTAAGGCCCGCTTTACAGACAAGGAACGCAACGACTGGCAGCGGGAATGAGCAGCCCTAGCGGGGCCAGCCCCAAGGCTTCCAGCGCGGCTGCTGCGAGCAGTCCTTCCACCTCAGTCACTAGAGGTCCCAGGCTGCGGCAAGACCTCAGGAGCACGCCCCTAGATCTCCCCCAAATCGGAAGAGGCCGGAGCTCCGCCTTCCGCAGTGGGGCTTTCACTGCGTGTTCAGGAGGCGCCAGGCAAGGTAATGAGGTCGCACGTCTGCGCCCTCAGGTCACAGCTCCAAAGGCTTCCCGCCGCGAGCTTCACCCCGGGGCCATCTTCAGTACCCACCCGCTCCAAGCTTCCAGCACAGAGAAACCCCGGGTAAACCACTAAGCCACAGCCAGGGAAAAGGCAGGCCCTTCCCGCACCCGCCTCCCGACGAACCCACGAGGTGCAACACCTGTGGGTATCGCAGCCCTCACCTCCGCTTTCCGCTGCACTTTGGCGCCTCCGCCCGTCACCTTGGCACATGGGTCCTCAGCCCCACCCACCTGACCCATTCGTTTTCTGGGAAATGTAGTCCAATTGCAGAACGGAAGTTCAACGAGTTTAGCCTCTCCGCATGCTGGGAGTTGTAGTCCGCCACTACGAGGTAAGCTGAAAACAGGAACTCTAACCCGAGTAGGAAATCCTGAGAGCACCGTGAAGCATGTCGGGAGTTGAAGGCAAATCAGGATAGGCCGAAGCGATCAGCACGTTCCTGCGCATGTTCTACATGGGGGCCGTTGGGAATTGTAGTCTTTAGAGAGGATGGCTCCATTTTCTAGGTGCCTGTGGCTTCCTGCTCAAAGCTAAGGAAATTTCGCTGGAGACAAGACCACAGCCAATACTTTCCTCGCCTTTCTCTGCTAAAGGGCTGATTAAAAAAACTCCTCGACTTTCCAGAGGAAGGGATGAAACGTGGACTTTTCTGATGTTTGTTAAGATGATCCAGTCACAAAATGTCAGATCTGGAAGGAAACTCAGGGATGGGCTGGTGGAGTTGGTTCCATGTGACTGGGGAGTACTGTGAGGATTCCAGCCTAACCTTCTGCCTCCCACCCCCAATTAAGGTGGCAGACATTCCTAA